CTGTAGCAAACAACTCCTGTAATTTCAAAGGAGTGATACCTGTGTAAATGATTTTACAGTATCTGCAACAGCTGTGCTGTGGTATGAAAGTATCTGACTTTTATTGGTGACAAAGTCACCAGAACTGGTCTTACTATGGCTTGTTGTCCACATTTATAATCCAATGAAATACTGATTTTCAGCTAGAGATTTGTGAAAATAAAGGTGTATGAGAAAAAAATATGATCTCATGACTCCCCCAGTTCTATCTCTGGTCACCTTTGGAGTAGAGTGCTGCTCTACTCCAACTCTTACAACTCTTAGTGGTAGTTTTTCTTCTGAGTTTTTGCTGACCACCCTAGCACATTACTAATAGCGGTTTCCTCCTTCAGTTAGTGTCTCCTTTTGCTTAGGTTCACAATAGTTTCTGGTGGTAAAAGCTTTTGAGAGGGAATTGCTGGATTGTTTATATACTTCACCTGCTCTGCTCCTTCTGTGGGTAATACTGCTGGAGAACATTCCGGGGATTGTGGATGTGTGTCATGGTGTACACCAGCATTTTTTTTTTTTTTTTTGGTGAGTGGAAATGGTGAGTGGTGTATGGTATTACTAGTGTCAGGGAAGAAAAAAGAATTATCACTACATACCCCACAGATATTTAAAAGATCTTAAGATGTTATGACAATTTTGTGGTAATAGATTTGGAAATTCAAATGAAATGGACAAGGTTTTCACATAAAATATCTCACATGAGACGTGAGAACTAGAAAATCTGAGTAGTCCTGTATCTATTAAGGAAATTGCATTTGTAGTTAAAAATCTTTCCAAAGAAAAATTTTCAGGCCCAGATGGCTTCACTAGTGAAATTTTCCAAACATTTGAAAAAATGAAAAAGATAGTGCTTTTATGAGGTCAGCATAACCCTGTTGTTAAAGCTGGATAATGATATTACAAGAAAATTATAAGCCAAGTGGTCACTAAAAGATACAAAAGTCTTAAAACAATGTATTGGTAAATCAAATCTAGAAATCTATAAAAAGGATAGTCATGACCAAGCTGGATTTATTTCAGGAATGTAAACTTTGCCTAACCTAAGAAAATCAACAAATGTTATTTAACCCCATACACAGAATAAAGGAGAAAAACTGTTTGACAAAATTCAACACCCATTCGTGAAAAAACTCTTTGCAAGCTGAAACACTGAGAAATTAAACAAGATTTAAAATAATGGTGAGTTGTTATTGCTCTGCGAAGAAGTCTGTAGATTGAGTATAATCCCAACCAAAATCCCAGCAGACTTTTTTTCAAAAATAGAAGTTGATAAGCTGATTCTAAAATTTATTTGGAAATTCTAGACAATATAAGAAGAACAAAGTTGGAAGACTAAAGCTACTAGATTAATAATGGAGTCGTATCAGTGTGGTATTGGCACAAGTCTAGACAGATGGTAGAACTGAGCAGAGAATCCATGAACAGGCTTATACCTACGTTGTCTTTTGATGTACGGCAGGTGACATTGCAGTGGAGAAAGGATGGCCTTTTCAGTAAATGATGCTGGGCCAACTAAAATGGACAAAATTAATCTCGATTATCTACTTCATCTCATATACAAAAATTAGTGAAGATACATCATACACCTAAATGCAAAAGCTATAACAGTAAAGCTTCTGGAAGAAAGCAAAGTAAAATAGCTTTATGACCTAGGGACAAAGTTTTATTGAATAGGACACAAAAGGTAATTATAAAGGAAAATATTGGTTAGAAGTTTTATTCATCCAAAGATTCTATAAAGAGAAGGCAAGGTAAAGCATGGGTGAAGTTATCTGTAATACGTGTATCTAAATAGAGAACTCACGCCCAGAATGTAGAAAGAACTTCTATAAATCATTAAGAAAAAGATGGACTGCTCAGTAGGAAAAAAGGGACAACTTTCATGTCATAAAAAAGGGTCTCCAAATTCCCAATAAACATGAAAAGGTGAACAACCTCATCAGAAAGTAGGGAAATGCAAATTAAGACCACAATGGGAGGTCAGGTGCAGGGGCTCAGGTTTGTAATCATAGCGCTCTGGGAGGCCAAGGTGGGAGGATTGAAGCCAGGAATTCAAGACCAGCTTGAGCAACATAGGGAGACCCTGTCTCTACAAGAAATAGAAAAATTGGGCATGGCGGTACCAGCCTGTGGTCCCTCCCAGCTACTCAGGAGGTTGAGGCAGGCAGATCACTTGAGCCCAGGGGCGGGATTCGAGATTGCAGTGAGCTAGGATCACACCACTGTACTCTAGCCTGGGGAAATAGAGCAAGATCTTATCTCAAAAAAAGAAAAAAAAAAAAAAACCAACAATGGGATACCACTATATACTCACCAGAGTGGCTAAAATTAAAGACTGTCAGTGCTAAGTACTGGTTAGGGTATGGATAAACTGGAACCCTCATACGTTGCCGATGGTTGTGAAAATTAGCATAAACTGCTTTGGAAATGTCTTTTGCGGTATCATTTACCAAAGCTGGACATATACATTCCCTGTGACCTCAGCTATTCCATTCTGAGACAACAGTAAGGCACACATATGTGCACCAAAAGACACATAAAGGAATATTTTGAGCAGTATTATTCACACTAGCTTCTAGCTAGGAAACAACTCATGTTCATCAATAGTAGAATGGATAAATGCATAAATTGTTTATGCAATTAAATATTGTAATAGGAATGAACAAATTATTGCCTCGCACAGCAACATGGATGAATCTCACACAAAGCTGAGCAAAAAGGTGAACATGACAATAAGCGCTACGTGATTCCATTTATACGAAGTTCAGAACCAGGCAAAGCTAATCAGGCTAATGGTCACCTATGATGGAGTTAGTGACTAGAATAGGACAGAGGGGCTTCTGAGGCATTCAGTATTTTTATCTCAGTGGTAACTACTTGGGTGAGTCTACTTGAAAGTGTTAAGATTTTTTTATTTAAGTATGTTTTAATAAACTTAAAATATTATTAAAAATTTAGTTCATCCAAATGCTTCTAATCTGGGGCACGTACGATGTGATGGGCATGATTCTTGCTGATTAAAAAGGTTTAAAATAGTTGAGAATTTTCAGGGGGAAAGAATGCAATATCACATCAGTAGCTTTTTAAGATTAGAAACTTATAAAATTGACTCCTTTTTGCCAGTCTCTAACAGCAGAGATCTGGCTTAAGGGCAGTTCATCTAAAAAGGCTTAGAGTTACATTTGATTATAAGATTGGTATCAGTATGAGGTAG